ACCAAAACTGAACCAGGAAGAAATAGAAAACCTGAACAGACCTATAACCACTAAGGAAACTGAAGCAGTAATCAAAAATCTCCCAACAAACAAAAGCCCAGGGCCAGAAGGCTTCCCAGGAGAATTCTACCAAACATTTAAAGAAGAACTAATACCTATTATTCTGAAACTGTTCCAAAAAAATAGAAATGGAAGGAAAACTTCTAAACTCATATTATGAGGCCACCATTACCTTGATCCCAAAACCAGACAAAGACCCATGGAATATATACTTCTTTTTTTTTTTATTCATGAGAGACAGAGAGAGAGGCAGAGGCAGAAGCAGGCTCCCAAGGAGCAGAGAGCCCAATGCAGGACTCGATCCCAGGGCCCCGGGATCATGACCTGAGCCGAAGGCAGTCGCCCAACCAACTGAGCCACCCAGGTGCCCCGGAATATATACTTCTTAAAATAAGTTCTATATTAAAAGAAAGTTGCCCACATTTTAGAAATACTTAAGTGCTTGTAACAGTCGTTCAGAAAAGTATATTTTTCTGATCTTGCAATAGAATTGGTCTTAAGTTCTATTGGTAAATAGCCAGTTGACTGATTTCTGTGTTACTATAGAGTGAGTTCTAGAAGAGCTCTCAGTACCTTCCACTCCCCACAAAGAATTCTGCATTTGCATGCATGTACATGTACTGGTTGGATTACCTCTTTACTGGAATAATACAGTTTTGTATTTGGACAAATTTGTATTTTTTTTCTATTAAGAGATTCAAAGGGTTGTATATATACCATCATATTGATCCTCCAGAAGTCCCTGGAAGTAAAGAGAGCTATCATTTTCTTTTAAGGAGATAAGTAAGTTGCTTGCCCCTGAATGGGCAGAAGAGCAAAAACTAGATCCTCATTCATTTCTTTCCTAAGCTTCTCTCTAACAAACTACTCCAAGAGTGAAACAATATCCTACAGCTTGCTTTGAAATTTTTTGTTGAACAGCTTCCCAACAGTTAATTAAATGCTATTAGGGCCAGGTGCCTTCTAGATTTTTAAGAAACATTAAGTGGTCTGTGAGAAAGGCTGGCCGGTTTCTGAAGTTCAATCTTATTGCAAATGTGATCACTAATCTGTGAACTATATTTATTTTTTATTTA